TAGGGCTTAAGGCCATTTAATACATCGCTGTGCTCTAATGGCATTCAGACATTCAGCTGAGGCAAAGAAAACAATTAATTATATAATTGATTAGTCTTTAAATCTTACATTTGTTGCATATCTGTAGAGGTGGACATGTACATGCTCATGTTGTTTGTAAATCAACTGGTACTACAAAATCAAATTAACATTTTTTTTATCTAAATATCGATCTCTCAAATGTGCTCTGATACCTTTGATTGTAAGTAGCACTCTTCCAAAAGATATAGTATCAATATTTAAATGTCAATATTTTACAAAGTAAAAAATTGTAAAAAAAAAAAGTACTTGTAAAACATTTAAACATTTCTAGAGAAAAACATAAAAAAAATAAAAAAAATAAACAACACTTTATTAAATATTTTTTAAAGCATTGAATGTCACATTCACCAAACATTCCCTGCTAGTGAATGGGATTTATATTATAGTGATTCATTCACCTTCAGTGACTGTTTTGTAAATGCCACATTTACGGCTTTACAAACATACCCCTTTATTTTTGTGTGGTTTAAAGTGATATTAAAATGGTAATTTTTTTCCCCATTAAAATACAAAAAGAGGGTATACTTGCCTGCTCTGTACAGCAATTTTGCACAGAATGGCCTCTTACCTCCTCTTCTCCAGGTTCGCTGCTCTCCACTCCTTCTTATGAGTAACAATCCATTGTTAAAATGCCCTACTAAGTACACTGGCATATCGCTTTATGCCATCCCAAAGCTGGTTCTAATAACTGGTCTTAATTATGCAGATAAGGAAACTCGTGATAATACTTTAAAACCTAAATTCAGGAAACCTCAAAAGTATCCCTTGCATGGGAGCTGCACCTGCACTGCAGGGGTAATTGCTAATTGAGGTCTAAGAGACATGAAAAGAAGATCTACTTACCCGATCCTCTGCCTCTCCATGCTGCTAGACCAGTCCCCACAGTTTCTTTGTCCCCAGGCTTCAGCAGCCTAAGGTCCTGATGTCAACAAGACCTGTGCAGGGTCCAGAGCCCTGTAATTCACATGATGACATAGAGGGACAGTCCACCACCAGAGCATGGAGGAGAGCTGCCTGCCAGGGGAGCAGAGGATCAGATAAGTAAAACTGCCTCTCCTCTCCCCTACTTTAAATGAGCAGTTAACCCTTACAGTGCAAGCACAGTCTCACTGAAAAGTAGGGTTTCTTGAAGTTCTCGAAGAGTTGGGGTTTAAGAATCTGTCATTGCCATAGCAACACATTCTTAAAATGGGGGTAGCTAGAACTACATGAATTTGGTGCAGTTCCTACATTTGTTGTTGAAACTGGCGCAAATGTTTGCCTGAATAATGAATTAGGCAGTTCTAACTGAAACTACCACCAAAAAAGTGTGGTGGTTACTGCTTTATTGAATTCCCCTAATTGCCTCGCCAACACCCATCTTAGGAAAAAAAAAAAAACGAAGTCAATACCAGCGTACTGGGCAATGTTTACAGCCTGTAGGAGCTGGACTGCCCTGATTTGATCACAGGGGTGCCCCTGGGCAGAGATGACTGTATATACACACACACACTGCTCAGCATAAATGAGTACACCCCTTTTGAAAGGTAAGATTTTATTCAATACCTCAATGAACACTGAACAAGAACAATTTCCAAACTTTTGACAAAACTGAGTTTTATAGAACATTTGCTTAGCTCATTACTTGAAAGTAAGGTTAATAATATAACTTAGATTACAAAATCTTCAGTTTTACTCAAATTAGTTGGTGCAAAAATGAATATACCCCACAACAAAAACTACTCCATCTAGTATTTTGTATGACCTCCATGATTTGTAAGGACAGCACAAAGTCTTCTAGGCATGGAATGAACAAGTTGACGACATATTGCAACATCTATCTTTTTCCATTTTTCAAGAATGACCTCTTTTAGAACCTGGATGCTGGATGATTGATGCTCAACTTGTCTCTTCAGAATTCCCCATAGGTGTTCTATTGGGTTCAGATCAGGAGACATACTTGGCCACTGAATCACTTTCACCCTGTTCTTCTTCAGAAATGCAACAATGTGTTTTAGATCATTGTCATGTTGGAAAAGTGTATGACGACCAAGGGCATGGAGTGATGGTATCTTCTCTTTCAATATAGAACAATACATCTGTGAATTCATGATACCATCAATTAAATGCAGCTCCCCAACACTCATGCAGCCCCACAGAAGGACACTGCCACCACCATGTTTCACTGTAGGCACCATGCATTCTTCTTTGTATTCCTCACCTTTGCAACACCATACAGTTTTGAAGCCATCAGTTCCAAAAAACATTTATCTTGGTCTCATCACTCTAGAGTACAGAGTCCCAGTAGTCTTCTTCTTTTTCAGCATGGTCCCTGGCAAATTCTATGTGGTCTTTTTTTGTACATGGGCTTTAGGAGAGGCTTCCTTCGTGGATGACACCCATGCATGCCATTCCTCTGCAGTATACATCATATGAGGGCTGATTTACTAAGAATAAGGTGAAGCAATGGAAGTTAGACACCAAACTTCACCTAATTGAAACAATTAAGACCTTGTCGTGGTGAACAGAAAAACGTCTTCACATAGGAAAATGTCTATTAGTAAATGTCGAATTGGAATAGTCATGTTTACAAAATAGGCAATTCTAAACTTGGTCCCTAGAGGGCATAGGAGCCAAAATCCAATTTCTTTCTAAAAACAATTGGCAGGTGTCATTTGTTTGCTTTTTTAATGCTAATTCTATTATTAATTCTCTTTCTTGTTTTGTAGTGGTATTTTTTACATGTTCTGCAAATAAATGCATTTTTATTGAATGTTACAGAGTAATGCATACTATTGTCTAATGTTAAATATATATCTAATTATTATAGCTATAAGAACATTCAAATTCAACATTAAAAATTATTTGTCATAATAGAAATAATATTGACTTATACGTATTGATCTTAATTCTTGAATCGTGGTACTACTATATATGCTAGATAGCATTGCAGTCAGTATCACAGTCAGCATTGTGGGTTAGTGGTTATCACTTCTGCCTATCAGCATTAGAGTTGCCAGTTGAAATCTCAACCATGGCACTAAAGGCAAGGAGTTTGCATGTTCTACTTGTGTGGGTTTGCTCACATGTTGGTAGGGTTGTTATTGTGCCAGCACCCCATATTTGCTGTAATTGTTGTGCATTTGCCTCTCAAAAGTGGGTTTTTGTGGCATGGCTTCAATTTTGTGTGTATTTTTCCAGTCTGACCATGTGTTTATGGTTTGTGAGCATTTGCTAACCTTAGGAGTTGTTAGGAGTAATAAAACTGACATTTGTTAGTAACAACAAACGTTAATATAATTTTGCTTAATCATGTAGACAGAAATTGTCAGGAATGGACTGGCCAGCAATGGTGGGACTCACCTGCCTTATGGGCTGCAGTACCAGGGCTGGCCAGCGGGTGCTCCCAGCAATCAGAGAATCAACCTTGCAGCCAGCCAAACACCTGAAACTGCTTATGCTGGTGTATTTAAGGGATGGCCAGACCTGCAGACTCTGCCTTGGTGTGTGTTTTTCCTGGGCCCTGTATCTTGTTCCTGCATCCTGTTCCTGTTCCTGTCTGATACGTTGCTGACCCTGCCTGATCCGGACCTCTGCTGACTTCTCCTGCTTTATCCCTGGCTTGTGACCCCGACCATTCTCTGCCTGACCCCCCTGTACCTACCTGTCCGATTGTTATTGACCCGGCCTGCCTGACGACGCTTGCATTGTATGTATTATCTGTGGGTGGTTTGGTTTGATTCGTTTGCACTGTGTTATGTTTAGTATTGCACTGCGTTTATGTTTGTATTGTTAGTCTTTAATAAATTATATTGTTTAACTTATCTGAAGCCTGCGTTTCCCTGCGTCAGTCACATACCTCTGGTCATACCCGGGAGCCCTGACATTACACCAAGGCCAATCCTGACCAGAAGTGGCTGCACAGGGAAGCCATCTTGGCTTGTTGCTGGGAAGGATGGATCTTGATGAGGTTGTGTATTTGTCGCTGCTGGTTTTTGATGACAGAGAATATGCTTATCAGACTCTGAAGGAGTATCCCCGGGATGAACTGCTAGAATGTATACGGCTCGCTCATGTTCTAGTAGATCAGGGCACAGAATTCTCTGAGGTGCAGCCATTGATTCAGGTTTGTGCGGAGTTGGTTTCATCTGGTACCCCCGAATGCAGGAAGAATTTTTGCCGCCATTTAGTGCCGACCAGGTAGAGTCCCTGGTATGGTTATTAGAGGATGATGTGGATTACTTTCTGGAGCGTTATTCTGCATGTTCACCACAGATACTAAGAGATTGTATAAATGCAGTGCAGTCTTTGGTCAGACAGGCTTTGTGTAAGCTGAGCTTTGTTCAACCCATACTGCAGACATGGACAGATTTGTTGCACCCAGCCTCAGTCAGCTTACAAAAACCCAGTCCTGCTTCTAATCTATTTCCTCAAAGCTCTATTCCTGCATTCCCAACAGCTCCTCCTGCCCTGCTATCTACCGCATGTCAGTACCCTGTTCCCACTTGCTGCACCTATCCTGCCTTTAACCCTGTAAAAAAGCCCTCTGTAGCAACTGTTCCCTCCTCTGTTCCATCCTCCAGCTCTTCTCTGTCTCCAGCTGCTCCATTCGTTTGCAGACCTGCGTTTACTTGCAGTGCTCCAGTAGTTAAAAAACCAGAAAAAAACGAAAATTCTTTCCAACCAGTACCATCCTGCCAGTATCCAAACCGGTGAGCCTGCCGTCTGAGAACCTGCCTTCCGTGGTTCAGCCTGGTGCCTCGGCACCCGCACTTCAGCCTGATGCCTGTACCCAGCCTGATGCCTGTACTCAGCCTGATGCCTCTACTCAGCCTGATGCCTCCACTCAGCCTGATGCCTCTACTCAGCATGATGTTTCTACCCTACCCAGCCTGATGAACTGATCCAGCCTGATGATCCTATTAGGCCAGTTGACTCTATGCCGCTGTTATCCAGACGATCCTGTACTCTACCCGGTGCCCGCTGTCATACTGGTGACCCGATCCAGAGCCAGATCGATCCAATGCCGATGACCCAGTGCCCGCTGTCATGCCTAGTGACCTGATGCCCGCTGTCGACACAGACGATCCAATGCCTGATGACCCAGTGCCCGCTGTCATGCCTGGTGACCCGATGCCCGCTGTCGAGCCAGACGATCCAGCGCCAGATGACCCGGTGCCTGCTGTCGAGCCAGGCGATCCGGTACCTGATCCGGTGCCCGCTGTCGTGCCAATTGACTCACAGCCCGCTGTCGTACCTGGTGACTCGGTGCCCACTGCCTTGCCAGATGACGCGGTGCCCGCTGGCAAGCCAAATGACCTGATGCCTGATGACCCAGTGCCCGCTGTCATACCTGGTGACCCGATGCCCGCTGTCGAGCCAGACGATCCGGTACCTGATGACCCGGTGCCCACTGTCGCGCCAATTGACTCAGAGCCCACTGTCGTGCCTGGTGACTTGGTGCCCACTGCCTTGCCAGATGACGCTGTGCCCGCTGTCGAGCCAAATGACCTGATGCCTGGTGACCCGATGCCCGCTGTCCAGCCAGACGATCCAATGTCTGACCCAGTGCCCGTGGTCATGCCAGTTGACTCGGAGCCCACTGCCTTGCCAGATGAAGTGGTGCCCGCTGTCGAGCCAAATGACCTGATGCCTGGTGACCCGATGCCCGCCGTCCAGCAAGACGATCCAATGTCTGACCCAGTGCCCGCGGTCATGCCAGTTGACTCGGAGCCCACTGCCTTGCCAGATGATGCGGTGCCCGCTGTCGAGCCAAATGACCTGATGCCTGGTGACCCGATGCCCGCTGTCCAGCCAGACGATCCAATGTCTGACCCAGTGCCAGCGGTCATGCCAGTTGACTCGGAGCCCATTGTCGTGCCTGGTGACTCGGTGCTGTCGCTCCGCCTGGGGGTCCGGCGCCCGCCACTCCGCCTGGGGGTCCAACCCCGCCGCTCCACCTGGGGGGTCCAACGACCCGCCGCTCCGCCTGGGGGCCCAGACCTGCCGCTCCGCCTGGGGGTCTCGGCGCCCTGCCGCTCCGCCTGGGGGCCCGCGCCTGCGCTCCGCTGGGGGCCCGAGACCTGTCGCTCCGCCTGGGGGCCCGGCGCCTGCGCTCCGCCTGGGGGCCCGAGACCTGTCGCTCCGCCTGGGGGTCCAGGCACCCGCCGCTCTGCCTGGGGGCCCGAGACCTGTCGCTCCGCCTGGGGGCCTGAGCCCTGTCGCTCCGCCTGGGGGTCCGAGACCCCACGCTCCGCCTGGGGGCCCAATGACCTGTCGCTCCGCCTGGGGGTCCAGTGCCCGCCGCTCCGCCTGGGGGCCCGAGACCTGTCGCTCCACCTGGGGGCCCGATGCCTGTCGCCCCGCCCTGGGGGGCCGGCACCCGCCGCTCCGCCTGGGGGCCCGAGACCTGTCGCTCCGCCTGGGGGCCCGGTGCCTGTCGCTGCTTCGCCTGGGGGCCCGCTGCCTGCTGCTCCCGCCTGGTGGCCCGGTGCCTGCTGCTTCGTCCTGGTGATCGATGTGCCTCTGCCCGGAGTCCGGCCCGATGTGCCTCTGCCCGGAGTCCGGCCCGATGTGCCTCTGCCCGGAGTCCGGCCCGATGTGCCTCTGCCCGGAGTCCGGCCCGATGTGCCGCTGCCCGGAGTCCAGCCCGATGTGCCTCTGCCCGGTGTCCTCTGCCCGGTGTGCCGCTGCCCGATGTGCCTCTGCCCGGAGTCCTGCCCGGTGTGCCGCTGCCCGGAGTCCGGCCCGGTGTGCCAGTCTTTGATATCCCGCCAGTTACCAGACCCGGGCGGTGGAACATTTTGCCCAGCTAGGACTGTTTGGAGCGTCCTGAGGCCGCTCTTTGAGGGGGGGTACTGTCAGGAATGGACTGGCCAGCAATGGTGGGACTCACCTGCCTTATGGCTACAGTACCAGGGCTGGCCAGCGGGTGCTCCCAGCAATCAGAGACTCAACTTGCAGCCAGCCAAACACCTGAAACTGCTTATGCTGGTGTATTTAAGGGATGGCCAGACCTGCAGACTCTGCCTTGGTGTGTGTTTTTCCTGGGCCCTGTATCTTGTTCCTGTATCCCTGTTCCTGTTCCTGTCTGATACGTTGCTGACCCTGCCTGATCCGGACCTCTGCTGACTTCTCCTGCTTTATCCCTGGCTTGTGACCCCGACCATTCTCTGCCTGACCCCCCTGTACCTACCTGCCCGATTGTTATTGACCCGGCCTGCCTGACGACGCTTGCATTGTATGTATTATCTGTGGGTGGTTTGGTTTGATTCGTTTGCACTGTGTTATGTTTAGTATTGTACTGCGTTTATGTTTGTATTGTTAGTCTTGAATAAATTATATTGTTTATAACTTATCTGAAGCCTGCGTTTCCCTGCGTCAGTCACATACCTCTGGTCATACCCGGGAGCCCTGACAGAAATGCAGCTTCCTTCTTACCATAATCAGAAATGTATGCCCTGTTGTTTTTGCACCTAACAACAAATTGATGGGTGGCTGGGTAGGGTGGTGAGATTTGCTGCACCTTGTAAAATGTTGCCTGGTTAATATTGGCCTTATTTTGTTCCCAGCTGTACACTGTGAAAGTTAAGTTGTGATGCCTTTTAGACTGTAAGCTCCTATGAGCAAGGCCCTTCTAACCCTGTTGTAAAGTGCTGTGCAAAATGTAGCACCATAAACACTGTTTGTTTTTACACAAGTAAATTATTGTACCTAATTGTGTTGCTGCTGTCAAAATAAATGTAGAATATGAACTATTTGTATTTGTTAAGGGAAAAAAAGGTTTATTGATTCTAGTGCAATGTATTAACATCCATACAAATCTACAAAATTAACACTTTATTCTGCACACATGCAAGGTGTTAAATAAAAATATTTTATTAGTTCAGGTACTTATATAGCGCCATCAATTTATACAGCACTTTACATATATATTGTATATTCACATAAGGCCCTGCCTTCCAGGAGCTTACAATGTAAAGTTCCTAACTCACATTCATATACTAGGGACAATTTAGACAGGAGCCAAAACAAATACCAGTGAGTCTTTGAAGGAAACCCACACAGGCAGAACATGCAAACTCCATGCAGGTAGTGCCATGGTTGGGATTTGAATCAGCAACCCTAGTGCCTCTAGGCAGCAGTACTAACCACTAAGCCACTGTGCTGTCACATGCCTGTAGATTGCAACTCTGTGGTGTGATCAGTCCTAAGTCCTTGGGCATGCTCAGTGTAACTAACAATTTATTTCAAATGGAATGGAAATACAAATGTGGAGTTGAATAAGCAAAATTCACAAGGCTGCTTATTGTCATTCATGAGTGAAAACATATGGCAAGATTTGCAATGATGGTGGAACCCTCCTACATATAATACGTATTTTATTTGGACATTTACATATAGGTGGTGGACTTACATATGGTTCTATGTTTATTGATTTATGCATTGATATTGGTGTGTCACTGTAGAACAGTGGTGTCACCCTCTGAATATTTTTCATAATTTTTATGTGTATTTATGATGTTGGGACACATATCACATTTTTTGGAATACTATTATGATCTTTTGCATTGGGATACATACAACCAATTTAGTAACACAGTGCAACATTTGTATTCCTCTTAATTTTGCTTCAGCACTGATATTGTGTGTGGTGGTGAAGACAGCTATGAGAGTTTGGATTTGGATTTTTGTTAGATGGTGAACACCAAGTGCAGTTTTTCTACTATTTAGTTAATATATTTCAAAAGTCTAAGTCCCTGGACATGATCAATGCACATGGCAGTACATACATAAGTATATATATATATATACTGCAGAGAATACATGCTCAAAAAAAAAGAATAAAAACACAATACTAGCATTAATTAAAAAAAACAAGAAAAAAAGAATATTGTATAAGAAGCAAAAAAAAACCTTTCAGCTAAATAAAATTACAAAGGAAATGAAAAAGTTCTTAGAATGTCTATGTTGGTGTTTCTGTCAATAGTGACAGTTCTATAGTTACAAGTATTGATGTATACCAATACATATATATATATACTTTAACTGACAATTGTGCGGTCATGCAATGCCGCACCCAGATTACATTTTTCCTTTTTTCCCCACAAATTGAGCTTTCTTTTGGTGGTATTTGATCGCCTGTTCAGTTTTTATTTTTTTGCGCTATATTAAAAAAAACACTTGTTCCTGGTAGTATACTGATGTAGTGCTACCCCCAAAGGAGCTGCTGGTTAAGATGGGTACTCTGCTCCTGGACTCAACCTTCTCAAAGACCTCAGCCCTTCTGACACACCAGGTTGAGTACACAAACCCATAGCATTGCACACATGCACCAAGTCAGTTAGAAAAAAAAAAAACAAACTTAATATATTGTCATCGAATAAAGTAAATGATGGGCATGAAAAGATTAAAAAGATCAAATGAGTATTGACAGTAATAACATATTTTGTCATACAAGATAATTAGCAGTAGCACAAAAACAAAATGGGATGACACTTGAGGGTTGATTTACCAAAGCACCTTGTCTGCAAATGGTCACAGTTCCTTGCATGACCAACTACTTTTAGCACAGAACAGATTTACTAAAGCACTCAGTTGACAAAAAACAATATTTTGGACTTCAGTTTTTCTAACTGACTTGGTGCATGTATTTTCTAAGTCGCATTACTGCTGGGTATTCAACACTGCTATCAGGGATTTCTTGCAATGCTATGGGTTTGTGTACTCAACCTGGTGTGTCAGTAGGGATGAGGTCTTTGAGAAGGTTGAGTCCAGGACCAGAAGACCCATCTTAACCCATCTCCTTTGGGGGTAGCACTACATCAGTATACTACCAGGAACAAGTTGTTTTTTTTTTTATAGCGCAAAAAATAAACAAATGCACAGGCGATCAAATATCCCCAAAAGAAAGCTCAATCCATGGGAAAAATGGATGAAAAATTTCATTTGGGTGCAGCATTGCATGACAGCACAATTGTCAGTTAAAATAATGCAGCAACGTAAGGCAAAAAATGGCCTGGTCAGGAAGGGAGATAAATCCTCAGGAGGGCAAGTGGTTAAAACGTGTTTCTAATATGTTGGTAAACACAGAGGTCTCAGTCATATACTTTTGCAAAAAATTGTGGAAGATTTAGAATGGGTAATAGCGAAAGGTGTTCAAGGAACATTGTTTTTATAGAGATGGAACCCTTTTAAATCATCAAAAGCAGATAATATATCTATCACTTGGTATAAGCAATGGATAAACCTTGGTCATCCACTGATAAATACTTCACCTCACATAAAGGATAAGATACGCCATTAACTCTTATGTGGAAAATGCACAGTAAACAACAAAGCTGTGCCCATTTTTTTATCTATCTGTCTTTGATGTTGTCGTCAGTGTCTACTTCTGTTCTTACAAAGAATTTTCTGTCTGCTGCAATTACAATGAAAAGGGACCAACTGACTATATTAAACAAGTGGAAATGCAGGGACTCATCTGCAATATATGCATTACGTGGACATTTTCAGCAGGACACAACATCCTTATCTGAATTTTCCCATATTCGATTACCAGTCATTCATCATGGAGTACCAAGTCTGGAAATAAAACACGTCTATTAATCCTGTTGTATTCCAGACAAATGTTCACCCGGTCAAGAGGCAACAGCAGATATTTTTCTTTCCTCTTCATGTTTTCCCTGCAAAAATACTCCTAAACCACAGAAAGCAATGTTAGATGAACATTTCGGGTCTTTCTGCATATTATATATCCTTGGAGCATTGCCACACTGTAACATACCTCATGAGTAGAAGCCACACAATTGCATTCTTCTATGTATCTATCAGAATGTCAAAAGTTGATTTGTACCTGCCTGATCCAGGAGGGCAAGGTTGTCAGAAAAAGAATCAAGACAATTAATATTGCAATTTGTCTTCCCATCTTTTGTACATGAGGAAGCACTAATTAAGTTTAGTGTGTGTTGTGTGTGTGTCATTGGCCCATATACAGCAAAGGAGGAATCGGAGAAGGTAGAAAAAGAGAGTCCTCATTTTTGTAGGTGAAAAGGATGAATATGGTGAAGCTGCACCTTAGGGTTGATGTAAGACAATACTTTATTGATACTAAAGACCTATTAGTACCCTTTCAAAATGCCCTGAAATCATAACAATAAGGATAATAATAAAAATCAAGGATAGTTTTTACCTTTTATTCTACTTTAAAAACTAGCGAGTGACACATTTACATGTGTCTGTCATAAAAATAAATTTTACCCAGGAGTCTTTTCTCCCTCTGGAAATCCATTTTCGATAGAAAAGAAACAATAAAGCACATACAAACAACAATTTGTCTCTATTCTGTGTGTCATTTTCCACTTGAAATGCTTAGTTTGCAATGCAGTGAGTAGGTGTATTAGGCCATATTATTAGAAACAGTATCAATTCTGCATTTATATCTTATGCAACACTTCAGAACTGTCAACTTTTTAGATAATGCTGGAATGGAGCTAACATCATTCTGCTACTTAATGTGCTTAATGTGTGTGACTCACGGTTGCTTCTAGAGGAAAATGCTTTTTTTCTTCTTCTTTGAAATGTGAATACATAAAATATATATGGCTTTATATTGATAATGTCAATGTTTATAAATCTGGTTCCATACAATTATTGACCC